CAACGTGAGCAGCGATATTACATCAAATTTTGCCAAAAATCTTGGCGATACCCGAGCGTAAACCATTCGCAAGATTCAGCAGGCTTTCGGGGACGATGCTCAAGGCCAAAAAAAGCACGGCAGGTCCACAGCAATATCACGGTCATGTCGACAGCTTTTTTGACTCTCGTGGGGTGGTGTATTGTGAGTACGCACCACAAGGCCAAACCATCGCAAAGGAGTACTACCAGGAGGTCCTTCGTCATCTTTCTGATGCTGTGCGACGCAAACAACTGGATCTGTGGTCGATCAAAACTTGGCAGCTCCATCGTGATAACGCATCCACCCATTCTGCACATCTGATTCAGGCTTTCTTCGCCAAACACAACACTCCTGTGGTTTGTCACGCTCCGTACTCTCCCCACATGGCTCCGTGTGACTTTTGGCTATTTTCCAAGCTGCAAATGCCGCTAAAAGGAACCTGATTTTAGTCGAGAGAAGACATCGTGCAGAATGCGACGGACTGGCTGATGGCCATTCCAAAAGATGCATTCCAGCAGTGTTTCCAGCAATGGCAGGAATGCTGGGAGAAGTGTATACACTACCAAGGAGACTACTTTGAAGGGGATTAGGGCTTTGTACCTCAAAATCAATAAATATATTTTTGCCGACCAAAGGTCCGATACTTTTTGAACAGCCCTCGTACATAAAAAAAGCAGCCAAAGCTAATAATCTCCAAATGGTATATCGACACAATCCTACAATTTTCAGAATCTTAAGAAATGATAAAAAACAATATAACTGGAATTCGGCCACAGGAATCTACTTCATACCATTGCACGACCAACGTTTAGATTCTAAACTTGTCTACGTGGGAGTCATGATGCGCAACTTACACCAATGACTCAAAGAGCACAAATATTCTATTGATAAGAACCACTACAATACCATGCTATCAGCTTATGCAAGACTACAAGACATTCAAGTCCAATGGGATCAAGCAACAATAATCAATCCAACAACAAATATACACATGATGAAATATCTTAAAAGGTTAGAGATCTTTAAGGCACATAGGAAAACCGATCGCATCAACCATAGAGATGCAGACACATTAGCTACCGCAAGGCAGTCTTTTTATGAAGATTAATGTTATTAAGAGACATAGTTTGTTTAATTTTATTTTTATTTTATTAAGTGACATTTTTGTCTTATTTATATTATTTCTGAATTTATTATATTATCCACATCCACAAGTTCGTTTATTTATGTATTTATTTCAAATCTCATTTCATAATTACATTTTATGTTAGTGTTGTATTTTGAGTTAACTGAAGAAGATTGGTTAAAACAATCGAAAATGTTTTTAATTTGGTAAATTTTATTTGCTGGATTGTTAAAGGTATGTTTTTTGTAATATTTAGTTATCCACTATGTACATTTTATAAGTATAAAATTATAAAAAATAAATAACAGATAAATTTTAGCACAAGTGGATCAATAAATAATTTTTAAAGAATTTTATTTAATTTTTTGAATAGTTTTTAAAAAGTATGTTTTAAAAACTAAGACTGGCAATTGTAAATAATAGTTGAATTTCAATAATAATAACTGAAATTGAAATAAGTTATTTGTTACAAGTTGAAATTGGCCTGAACTGCTCTTAATAGAAATGCACTTGGATGTTACATTTTACACCTAGAAGTTATTATCAATAAATAATGCATAATTTTATTTCATTTTATTTCATACAGTGAATCTAGTTTACCAGATTTTTAAAAATTTTGAATTATAAACATTTGGGTTGTGGAACCATTACAAATATATTGGGTCAATTAAGCAAAAAGTGAGAAATGCTGGGTTAGGCCATCCAGTAGGATGCTGAAGTATTGCTTTGTTCATTCAATTTACTATTTAGGAAGTATGAGTCATGTTTTTAAAGTAAGTATTGTTTTGAAATATAAAAAAAACAAGCAAACATTTTTAACAAAATTTTTATTTATGTGAAAGCCCATATTTTACACTACTTTTCTACATAATTCCCATTAATATTGAGACACTTATCGTATTGTCGGACCAGCTTTTGTATTCCATCCTCAAAGAATGTNGTTTTGAAATATAAAAAAAACAAGCAAACATTTTTAACAAAATTTTTATTTATGTGAAAGCCCATATTTTACACTACTTTTCTACATAATTCCCATTAATATTGAGACACTTATCGTATTGTCGGACCAGCTTTTGTATTCCATCCTCAAAGAATGTTGCCGCCTGATGAGACAACCACTGCAGAACGGTCGTTTTGACTTCGTTGTGATTGTTATGGCGCTGCCCTGCCAGATGCTTCTTCAAATGCAGAAACAAATGATAGTCACTCGGTGCTAGGTCGGGACTGTATGGAGGGTGGTCTAATTGTTCCCAGCCAAATGATGTGATTAGGTCTTGAGTTTGATTTGCCATATGTGGACGAGCATTATCATGGAGCAAAACGACACCCTTGCTCAGTAAGCCCCGCCTTTTGTTTTGTACTGCACGGTGCAGTTTTTTTAAAGTCTCACAGTATGCAGCTGAGTTGATCGTTTCACCATAAGGCAAAAAATCAACAAGCAACACTCTGTATCTGTCCCAAAACACCATGCACATGATTTTCTGAGCAGAAATTGTTTGCTTGAACTTGACTTTCCTTAGAGATGATGAATGTCACCATTCCATGGATTGTTGCTTCGATTCCAATATAACATAGGCTGCCCATGTTTCATTGCCTGTAACAATATGGCTTAAAAAATCATCTCCCTCATCACTATAGCGCTCAAGAAAAGTCAATGCACTGGCCAAACGTTTGGTTTTGTGCTCCTCCATCAACATTTTCGGCACCCACCGGGAACAATTTCCGATAATTTAATTGTCCAGTCACAATTTCATAGAGAACACTTCTTGAAACTGCAGGAAACTCTTTAGATAAAGATGAAATCGTGAATCGTCTGTTCTCTTTCACTCTACAGTCCACTTTTTCAATCAAATCGTCGATAATGANGTGAATTTTACAAAAATGTTGCAAATTTTCACAGACAGATGTCAGGTCTGAAATATTTTAATTTTTTTTTTATTAAAGTTTATATTTAAATGTATTTAAAAATATCGGATTTATAACTACAGATATTAATAAATGTAACGTAATTTTTGTCATATGAATATAACAATAAATAGATTTTTGGTGAATTTTTAAAGTAATAAAACATGTCTGACCTTGTTTGACCTATACTGCCCTTGGTCATTTTAAACAATAAACGTAAACAGGGGGCGGGGTTAACCTGGTAGTCTGAACGTTAATTGTCCAGTCACAATTTCATAGAGAACACTTTTTGAAACTGCAGGAAACTCTTTAGATAAAGATGAAATCGTGAATCGTCTGTTCTCTTTCACTCTACAGTCCACTTTTTCAATCAAATCGTCAATAATGACTGAAGGTCACCACTTCATTCCTCATCGTGAATGTTTGTGCGGCCATTACTAAAGGCCCTAACCCATTTTCATACCATTCCTTCACTCATAACGCTTTCATCATAAACTTCACTGATTTGGCGATGAATTTCAGCCGCTTTCGAGCCTTTAGCACTGAGAAAACGAATAACGGCACGCACTTTGCAGTTGGCGGGATTCTCAATGAGCGGCGGCATTTCAATAACACACAAACAACAGTAAACACAGTCGACTGGCTCCTTAATGGCGTTTGTGGCTTCCCAGCAGATGTAGGTACACAGCGCGCATGCGCTAAGCGCCGACTGCAGCGCTCCAGCGGCATTATATTAAAACGGTACTTACTTTAAAAACACGCCTCGTAAATGTAACATTTCAATAATTCCAACATACAGTAAATTAAAATTCTAGCATAAAAGTTAAATTAAAAATTAATATGAGATGAATGAGATAGTTGAGACTTTATACTCCCCAGTATTGGTGTTGAATGCTGAAACAATTGAAATATATAAGAGCAGGTTGAAGGACAAATGTATTAAACCAAGAAATGTGGCCAGTTTACCATCGCGTGGAAGTTTGTTGTGAAAAAGAAATTTCTTTATAGAAACTACTAGTTATCACATTTACTAAGATATGTTTTTGTATTTAAAATTTACAACTCTAGTTCTACTTTTATATTTTATTTTACTTCATTTTTATGTTAGAATTTTAATTTACTNGTCACAATTTCATAGAGAACACTTCTTGAAACTGCAGGAAACTCTTTAGATAAAGATGAAATCGTGAATCGTCTGTTCTCTTTCACTCTACAGTCCACTTTTTAAATCAAATCATCGATAATGACTGAAGGTCGCCCACTTCGTTCCTCATCATGAATGTTTGTGCGGCTATTACTAAAGGCCCTAACCCATTTTCGTACCATTCCATCACTCATAATGCTTTCACCATAAACTTCACTGATTTGACGATGAATTTCAGCCGCTTTCGAGCCTTTAGCACTGAGAAAACGAATAACAACACACACTTCGCAGTTGGCAGGATTCTCAATGAGCGGCGGCATTTCAATAACACACAAACAGTAAACACAGTCAACTGGCTCCGTAATGGCATTTGTGGCTTCCCAACAGATGTAGGTACACAGTGCGCATGTACTAAATGCTGACTGCAGTGCTCCAGCGGCGTTATATTAAAACGGTACTTACTTTAAAAACACGCCTCGTATTATGCAAAGATTTATTTTACTATTGTCTAATATAATTAATATAAAACAGATTTCTACTGGTACAATGTAGAGATTAAGTAATGAAGCAAATTTAAAAAAATAGGTAATGATGTCATCTTTTGATTTTATTAGCAAAATGGTTTAGCTGAATTGTCTGCTATCTGGGCTGGTTGTAACCTGACTATAAGGAAGTGTTAGATGCCCTAGACCAGTTCTCATCCTTTTTTCTATCTTCCTATTCTATCTTGGGTAGATACAGGGAAATTATTTTGAAAAACATTAAATTAAAAAGATACTTATGTTGTTTATTTAATGTGATCCTATGGTTGATGCTTCATTGCTATGTTTGTAATATTTGAATATAAATTTGTAAGTTTTAGTCTTATATCTGCTCAAATAAATATATCAATTTTTCTTCTTTCTTTTGTCACAATTTTATTGACTACACTAAATCTATATTCAACCAAATGTAAAGTTGGAAAGCATAATAGTATTTTAGCCATTTCAGATCACATGTTCAAATACAGCTATTTAGCTGTATTTGATAGACATAATCAGGAGTGGATCTACATAAAGACTAATAGGGCTTAAGCCCTGGGCCCCCAAGTGTCAAGGGCCCACAAAACTAAATTCTTTTTATTAATAATATTTCTTTATTTCTTATTTTTTCATATAAGATATAAAGTTTGTAATTCAACACCATTTCATAAATAAATGTTTCACCTTTGATTTTGATGTTATTAAAGATGAATTTTAAACCCCAATTTAAAGATTCTTAATCTAACAAAAAATGGTGCCCCATTTGACTTCAATAAGCCCTGGACTCCAAAAAAGCTAGATCCATCCCNGCCCCCAAGTTTCAAGGGTGCACAAAATTGAATTCTTTTTGTTATTCTTATTTTTTCATATAAGATATAAAGTTTGTAATTCAACACCATTTCATAAATAAATGTTTCACCTTTGATTTTGATGTTATTAAAGATGAATTTTAAACCCCAATTTAAAGATTCTTAATCTAACAAAAAATGGTGCCCCATTTGACTTCAATAAGCCCTGGACTCCAAAAAAGCTAGATCCATCCCTGGCCATAATTCAGTTAGTCCACCTCTTTCAAATTTATATTTGTATTTATTATTACATTTTAATTCAATAATTTGTTCTTGGATATTTTCACTGACTGGATTCTATATCACAGCCAGGGCTGGATTAAGCCATTTTGGGGCCCTAGACATTTTCTTCTTACCGGGCCCCCCTCCCTCTCCCACAAGAAATAAAGCACACACAAAATTTAAAACAAACCTAAATACTGTAATGTGGAAAACTAAAACAAATCTTAATTTTAGTTTTTCTAGAAAAGTTTGAACAGTTTGTTTATAAATTTAAAAAAATTGAAATTTATTTTATTAAATGTCTAACAAAAGTTGTTATACAATAACAATATTACCTTAAAATATNTTATATTATTATTTTATCAATTCATAATTAATTAGAACTAATATATTTTAATATTTTTGACAGGTGTAGGAACAAAAATAGATCCCACGTTATCAAGAGCAGACAGAATGGTTGGTCAAGTGTTGGGAGCAGTTGGAGCATTACCAGAAATATTTACTGACTTAGAAATTGCTTATTTTCTTCTGAGAAGGCTTCTTGGAGTTCGTACTGAAGGAGATAAAAAGGGAGCTAAGGTAGGTAAACAAAAGTAATAATTTTATACATTTTTGGAAAGATTTATCATTTTTATCATAATGCATCTTCTAAAAAATAAGTTTAATATTTTTAGTACAGTTAAAAATGTCTTTATGAATAAGTGTTCAAATAGGAAACTGTGTTCTGTTTGAATACTCATATATAAAAGATTAATTATGAATTTGTCATAAATTTAATGTATACAGTGTATCTAACCACTTAAAAATAAGATTATTTAAATGGAATAAAAATTAAAATTTGTCAAATAAATGTCTTATATGTCTGTTATACTGTACATATTTGCCATTATATGTTTAAAATAACTTTTTGTTTTTTATGCGAAGTTACTCAATTACTTTTAATATGTTCAGAGAAACAAAAATTCAGAAATTTTTTATTTGTTGAGAAAGTTAATTATTTATTTTACGTAATAAATGTGCTTGAATTATCATATTAATAAATTCAAAGCAAATAATAATATACAAATGAAATTTTCATAAAATGTTAAAATAAATTTTATCTTTTAATTAAATTTTCACAATTAATTATATTGTTTACAAACATACTGTACTTAATAATTGAGATTTAAAAAACCATGTAATTTCTGTACATATTTTGTGTACTGACTATTCTTAATCAGTTTACACATGAATGAAAACTTTCTTAGATTTCCTTAAAAGTGTAAGTGTAATAGATTTTTAATATTTTAATCCTTTTTTAATGAATTTAGTTTAGTGAATTATATTTATAAATCTTCTTGTACAGTTTTTGTTTTGCCTTAAAATGAAGTAAAAATAAGAAAACATTTACTTTAAAAATATTCTTAAATATAAGACAAAATTCGATGATGATTGTTTTGTAATTAACAATTTGTAAAAGCTAATAGATAACAGATAGCTAACACATTTATTAGAACATGATTATGACAAAGAAATGATTTAATTTTGCTAAAAAATTTTTTTCCAAATATATTTACAAAAATGATTTTATATTATCAAAACATAGAATGCTTTCAGTAATGTTTATTCATTCAGTATAAATTACAGATATCATAAAATGTTTTGTTATATTGTAATATTTTAGAAAAATATATCTTGTAGAAAAGATTTTTGCATCTATTACTTTTATAATAGTTTATCATTTGTAATTTTGTAGATAATGATAAATTTCCAATAATAATAATGTTAAGAGTGGATAACTCCTAAAAGCTGGAACAGCTCAACAAACACAAAAATGCTTTTAGACAATATTTCCAGCAGTGATGTTTAATAAACATTATATATATGAAATATAGTATAGGAGCAACTTAAAATTGCTAATACTTTTTATTCAAAGAAAAAGTTCCAAAATATTTTGAGTGTATTTGATCAGATTTGTATTCGTGAACTTCTTGATAGCCATTGTTAATGAATTTGCATTTACTTGAATATTTTATTCAAGTAAATGCAAAATGTTGAGAGTCATAAAATTTCATCTCCTCTTGTTGATAAATTGAGCTTTGCTTGTGGAATTTTATCTTATTGACACAAGTCGTGCAAAAAATACAATCTGCATGAAGTGTGACTACAGTTGATCTACAGGATTGTCAAATATCCCAAACAAATTGTTTATTTGAAGAACTTGTGGTTAGAATCAATAAAGCAATGTAGTCAAATGGCATTTTTGATAGATTATATGTTGACAATTGCATTTTTTTCTACCTTTATAATTGTCATGCTTTGCATATAGCTTTTAGCTCAATAGGATTTGCATGTTAGATATACGATGTCCATTACATTTTTCTTTTACACTAAATCAACCTTAATAAGTTTACTAATGGTGGTACCACCATTGTAGCAACACACTTACTGTAAAGCCATGCAAGACATACTACAATCCATGTAATACAGAGATGTTTGATTGCATTTATATAGTAGTGTGTGTTTATTCATGCTTGTAAATGGAGTGAACTACTGCATGTTCTTTGTAAGCACCCAAAATCCCATTTTAAGTCTATGGTAGAGTTTTTTCCATGATATTCCTTAAGGATACAGTTTGATCAGAATTTCAAATAGCTTACAACATTCACTGATTTGGACTTGATGTCCATACCAAATTTGGCCATGATCAGTCAAACAGTTTTGGGGAGGTTATTTAAATCTAATGATATTTGAATGAAAGAAATGAGCTAAGTGAATAAAGTGAGTGATGCTCAAATAATAATAGATGTTTCATTTTAAAAATATATATGCAGTAAAACCCCTCTCAATTAACCATGACTCTTCATTATTCGAGGTAAACCTGGAAGTGAATAAGCTACTTTTCTTATAATATACAGACATCCTTCAACTTATGATGTTTCAACATATGATGGCCAATGTGAGTGAAGCAGAAACATAAAAACTGTTAGAATTTGAATTCAAGCCATTTGCATCTTATAGCATCTCCATCCAGCAACTAATATTCCACCATCTCCTTTAATTTTTTTTTTTTTTTGTTGTTGTTTTATAATAAAATTTCATTGCATACTTTTCTGGTAGATGTCATGATATTTGAAAGATTACTGTATTTAACATTAGCATAATATACTTTTGCACATTGTTTTATTTCATTCATTCTTTCTTTCCTTTTTTCTGTACACTTTATGATACAATATGCAATGCTATGTGCTGTATTACGTTTCATATAGCCTTTTTTTTTATTGATTTACTGTATTTATTTTTGACATATGATGTTTTTTCAGAACATAATCCCATTTAAAACCCAAAATTTGACTGTACTGTAGTACTTTACCTTTTTTTTTTTTTTTTTTTTTTTTAGNGATCGCATCTAAAATAGTACAGTAGAAGCTGTTCTTCCGGTTAAGCTTTAATGCTCTCCCTCTCCCCCCCACTTGGGAATTTCGAAAAATCCCTTCTTAGTGTGCGTTTTTATGACAAACCTTAACTGTGTACCAAATTTCTGCTCTTTAGGTCCAGCGGTTTGCTCTGGGCGATGATGAATCAGTGAGTCATTCAGTCAGTCAGGACAAGCAATTTTATATATATAGATTGTATAATGCTGTATAAAACAGATATATTATAGCATATGTAATTAATAAAATTATATAGAAATGAATTGTAAATAAAATGATGCTATTTACATAATTAAAAATAATTCAGTTTTAGAATTTCTCTGATAACACCATTTTGTTATAAGGGAAAATGATTTTAATTCATTAAAAGTATATTGAAGAATACAAAAATTTGTCTCCAAGAATCTGTTGTTTTAATCGCCAGTGACAATCCAAAAAAACAGTTTTTACTTACAGTGATGAACCTTTTATTTGAGTTATGGTTAAAAACATTTTTAAATACACTTAACTGTTAATCCTACTTAAAGTTTTTAGTGTGGATAGGATGTAAACTTGATGGTCGAGAGAAGAATTGGATTAATTAATCAAGTATTACTGAAATTCAATAAAATTGATATTGTAAATCATTAGTTTTTGTAATTGACATAACAAATAGTCAATTACTTAATATAATTTAACAGATTTAAAATATGTAATTAGTGTAAAGTTTGAATGTTTATTATATGATACATTAAATCATTATAAAATGACATTTTCTGATTTGAAATATAATTAAAATACAAATTATTACTTATGAAAAAGTAAGAAAGCTATTTTTAACTGAGATAATATTAAATCTAATATTGCAGTTAGTATATTGAGAAAAGGAATGAGAATTCTGAAGCAATGATTTATAAACAGGAACATAGTCGAGTAGGAAAACTTTTATTTATTAAGTAAGAGATAGAAAGATTAGTGTTAAGTAGCATAGTCATTATATGTGTAGTTTTAGTTTACCAAAACTAAAACTACACATATAATGACTAAAACTAAAACTCAGGAATATGACTAAACAACATTAATCTAAATAGGATTTCCAAAAATTGCAATTATGTAAATGGCATGAACAATTTTATTTATATTTTTTTATATAAATTATAACATCTCAATCTTTAATCTTAATTAAAAAATAATTTGTATATTAAAATAATGTTTTTCAGATTAAGATCATTATTCAGAAACAATATTTTTAATATGATATTTTATCATAAATATAAATTTATTTCAAACTAACCACAGTTGAGTCCAGTTAACTGATATCTGTTTAACCAAGGTTCTACATTATTTGAGGCAAAATATTTAAAAAAATACTTTATTGGCAAAGACTAGGAAATATAGCGTAATATAGTTTGTTTCTCAAATGATGGGATGATGCACAGTACTCAAAAGAGGCTCTAGAAATTTTAAACAAAATTTATTTTGATTACTTTTTATGACAGCACAAATTTTAAAAGTATATTTTCTGTAATTTTTATATCAAGAATTCAATTATTTTGTAATTAAGGATTTAGGAATTTTTATCTTCATGATTAGAAAAAATACAGTTGCAAGAAATATGCTATTTACTTTTGTAATTTTGTAACTTTTGACAGTGTATTTTTGAAATGTATTTTATTTTTCATATTTATACCATGAACGTTGATTGGAATGCGTTTATCTATTTATTTACTAGCTGTACCCGGCCATGCATTCCTGTGGCTCAAAATGTTCTATTATAAATGTATAACACTTCCCGCAGGAAAAATTAGAAAAATTCCTTCTTAGTGTACATTCTCTTGACATACCCTGTTAAAACGCAAAAAAAAACACATCTAAAATAGTATAATAGAAGATCAGTTCTTCACAGTAAGCCTTAATTTTGTCACTTTCTCCATGGGGGAATTTCAGCATCTATATAATATAAAAACACGCGCATATTTGAATGCAACATTGTGTCAAAATTTCTAAGCAATCAGAGATTTAAGATTTTGAACAAATGAACATTTACATTTTTATTTATATAGATTGGTTTGACATTATGAAATTGAATTATTTATATATTTACAAAAACAAATTATTTTAGTTTTGTATTGTGTATAAGGAATTATATTAACCAATTAGAAATACAGTAGAGCATCGATTATCCGAATATTGATCAATCGAAACATCAATTAACCGAAAGCTTTCCAGTCAGCAAATTTAAATTTCTGCTAGTGCCATGGTGCTGCAATCTTTGGCTATGTCTTGGGCCACTCCAATATTATTTTGGTTGATGTGCGTGTTTTAGCTGGCAGACTGGCAGAATCATGAGAGGTACTTAAGGACATGCCAGGATTTGAATGAATTTTTACATGGGATAGGTTAATATATTTTTTCGTACATAATTGATTATCTGAAAAATCAATTTTCCGAACAACCCCAGTCCTCAATTGATTCAGATAATCGATGCTCTACTGTAAGATAGGTAATTACATAATATTGATATATTTAATAAAATTACAATTTTATAGGAACTGTTGCTGAAGGAGCACCAGTAATACCAATATCTGCTCAATTAAAGTATAATATTGAGGTTATATGTGAATATATTGTTAAAAAGATTCCTGTTCCAATAAGAGATTTTACATCAGAACCAAGATTAATAGGTAGTGAAATTATAATTTATTAAACAATATTTAGAAATGAAATAAAACTAAATAACTTTTTTTGATTTAAAGTAATTCGTTCATTTGATGTGAATAAACCTGGGTGTGAAGTTAAAGATTTAAAAGGTGGTGTTGCAGGTGGAAGTATTTTAAGAGGTGTCTTAAAGGTATATATTATATATATATAAATAATACAGATAAATAATAATAATTAAAATAGATTTTAAAACTGTAAATTTTATGTTAAGGTAGGACAAGAAATTGAAGTAAGACCTGGAATTGTATCTAAAGATCAAGAAGGAAAATTAACTTGTAAACCTATATTTTCTTGCATTGTTTCACTATTTGCTGAACAAAATGACTTACAATATGCAGTACCAGGAGGTCTAATTGGTAAGATATTATTATTATATTTACTAAAATCATCACTAAATACCTTTGGCTGCTGAGACATATATATTTGCTTACATACTAAGGTTTTTGATCTAATGCCTAGGCCAACCTCAGGTGATTGATTTTGAAACAATAGTTTCAAACTGTTCCAAAATAGAATACAATAAATATAGAATATTAGAACATTAAATTTTAAATATTTGAATATACGAGGTGTGTTTTTAAAGTAAGTACCATTTTGAAATATAAAAAAAACAAGAAAACATTTTTAACAAAATTTTTATTTATGTGAAAGCCCATATTTTACACTACTTTTCTACATAATTCCCATTAATATTGAGACACTTATCGTATCGTGGGACCAGCTTTTGTATTCCATCCTCAAAGAATGTTGCCGCCTGATGAGACAACCAGTGCAGAACGGTCGTTTTGACTTCGTCGTGATTGTTATGGCGCTGCCCTGCCAGATGCTTCTTCAAATGCAGAAACAAATGATAGTCACTCGGCGCTAGGTCGGGACTGTATGGAGGGTGGTCTAATTGTTCCCAGCCAAATGATGTGATTAGGTCTTGAGTTTGATTTGCCGTATGTGGACGAGCATTATCGTGGAGCAAAACGACACCCTT